GAAGTTAACCTCTCAGCAGGAGTGCCTTCTGATGAGACGGGTTGAAGAAAATCACCATGCAAGTTCACTGCAGTTAGCTAAAGCAGTAGAAAGCCAAACTGGAGTGACCGTTTGCCATGACACCATACGGCGCACATTGCAGAGGAATGACATGCACGGGTATCGTCCACGAAGGAAGCCTCTCCTAAAGCCCATGCACAAAAAAGCACATCTAGGATTTGCTAGGGCCCATGCTGGAAGAGATGAGGACTACTGGGACTTTATATTCTGGAGTAATAAGACAACTAATGGTTTCTAAACTGTATGGCGTCGTAAAGGTGAGGATTTAAAAGAGAAATGCATGGTGCCTACGGTGAAACATGGTGGTGGCGGTGTCGTTATGTGGGCTGCACGAGTGCTGGAGGTGTTGGGGAACTGCATTTTATTGATGGCTTCATGAACTCAACAATGTACTGCTCTATTCTGAAGGAGAAGATGCTGCCATCACCCCGTGCACTTTTCCAACACGACAATGATCCAAAACACACATCTAAAGCTACTGTTGCATTTCTCAAGAAGAACAGGGTGAAGGTGATTGAATGGCCAAGTATGTCTCCTGATCTGAACCCAACCCAACACCTGTGGGGAATTATGAAGCAGCAAGTTGAGCATCATTCTCCATCCAGCAGCCAAGCTCTAAAAGAGGTTATTCTTCAAGAACGGAAAAAGATGGATGTTACAATATGTCGTCAACTTGTTCATTCCATGCCTAGAAGACTTGGTGCTGTCTTTGAAAATCATAGATGTAGTAGTTTTTGTTGCAGGGTGTATTCAGTTTTGCTTCAACCAGTTTTCGTAAAACTGAAGATTTTGTAATCTAATTTACCGGTATATTACTAATCTTAATTTCATGTTATGGAGTTAAACAAGTGTTCAATAAAACCCAGCCTTGTGAAAATTCTGGAAATTGTTCTTTGTTCATTGAAATGCTGGTTAAAACCTCGTCTCGTCTTCTGATGAGAAGGGTTGAAGAAAATCACCATGCAAGTTCACTGCAGTTAGCTAAAGCAGTAGAAAGCCAAACTGGAGTGACTGTTTGCCATGACACCATACGGCGCACATTGCAGAGGAATGACATGCACGGGTATCGTCCATGAAGGAAGCCTCTCCTAAAGCCCATGCACAAAAAACACACCCAGGATTTGCTAGGGCCCATGCTAGAAGAGATGAGGACTACTGGGACTGGGACTATCCGGGTCCAGGTTGCGGGGGCAGCATCCCAACTAGGGAGTTCCAGACCGTCCTCTTCCTGGCCACCTCCACCAGCAGGACCCCAAAGCGTTCCTGGGCCAGATCGGAGACGTACTTTCTCCAATGTGTCCTGGGTCGACCAGAGGGCCTCCTGCCGGCAGGAAATGCCTGAAACACCTCCCTGGGGAGGTGTCCAGGAGAATCCTAACAAGATGCCCAAACCACCTCAACTGACTCCTCTTGATATGGAGGAGCTGCGGCTCTACTCCGAGTCTCTTCCGAATGCTCGAGCTCCTCGCCCTATCCCTAAGGCTGAGCCCAGCCACCCTGCAGAGAAAACTCATATTGGCCGATTGTATCCATGATCATGCTCTTACGGTCATTACTCAAAGCTCATGACCATAGGTGAGGACTGGTTAACCCTACCCTACCCGTAACCCTAACCCTAGATCGACTGGTAAATCGAGAGCCTTGCTTTCCGGCTCAGCTCCTTCTTCACCACAACAGACTGGTTAAGCGTCCGCATCACTGCAGATGCTGCCCCAATCTGCCTGTCGATCTCCCCCTCCCTCCTTCCCTCACTCGTGAACAAGACCCAGAGACACTTGGAAAGTCCTCCACTTGAGCCAAGATCTCTCTCCTGACCTGGAGCTGGCAAGCCACCCTTTTCCAGTCGAGAACCACGGTCTCTTCTTACTTTTTAAAGGGGGTGTACTCATTTATGCTGAGCCTGTTTTTATTTTTACAATAAAAACAGGCTCAGTGATTATTGTAACGAAAGAAAATTACACAATCAAACTTAATAAAACATTAATAAATCAATATAATAAAACATTTTGCAACTGCACAGCTGTCATAAAATCATGTGCATGAACTCTGCACTTTTACCTTCCTCATAGCTGTGTTTCGGTCTGCTGCTTTACCCAACGCAAAGCCTAGATAGATAGATAGAGAACGAGATAGAGATAGAGAGAGAGAGATAGAGAGAGAGAGAGAGAGAGAGAGAGAGAGAGAGAGAGAGAGAGAGAGAGAGAGAGAGAGAGAGAGAGAGAGAGAGAGAGAGAGAGAAAGACCATTATCTTCACATCTGAAGGACAAACTTTAGGATTCACATCTACTTGGATGAACAAGACCATTTAAGAAAAAACAACTTATTTGTGGTTAAATGCCACAGCTTTCAGGGAGGGTAAACTTGTTATCTCAACATAAAAGGTGTTTTAAAAGACACATATAATGACATTTTTCTGGAGTTATAATAGTTCTGTGTCCAGTATAAAACATACTTGTGAAGTAGTTTGCACTAAACCCCCGTCACAAAAAATGATTTCAGCTGTTTTGTTCTTGACATTTTCAGTAGCTTCCAGAATGAGCCGTTTCAGGGTGCCGTCCCTTTGAGAAAGCACCTTACCTTTGACGAGTTTAAAATTAAACACCTACAGTAAACCACCACTTTTAATTCTGGCATAAGTTTAAGTCATTTTAAAGCTTCTTTCCCGAGTATTTCTCTTATCCGATGGCACCATCTAGTGGCTGACAAGCATATCACACAAAAAATCTGTTGCTCTGTTTGTTCAAGATGGCGACTTCACGTTTCTGTTTATAAATGTGCTTCTGTAGCCGATAAACAGAGCTAAAACATTTGTTTTACGAGTGTTATTCTCATGTCATGTTGTGTTCTCATATATTTATATTTTAGAGACGAACTTGTCTGTGAAAAGTTCATTAACTCTGCATCAGCCGAGGCATTCCTTAAATTTGAAGCAAGTAAGCGGTAGTCTAACTCTATTGGTTAGTTCTGGTGGGCGCTCAGTTTCCTATTGCACGGATCTCTGCGGGGCAGGGGGCGTGCTTAGTACAAAAAATAGATGTATTGCTTACATTTTATCAAGAGACAATCGCTTTTATGGATTTCAGAAAAATCAAACATCATTTCTGAAAGGGGAAAACTTTGGAAAGCAGCTTTAATGAAGGTTTGTTTATTCACAACAGATTTTTCTGAGAACTTTTCTCTATCATTTCCACCAAGTATAATAGAAAGAATCAAACCTGCAGCTCCGTTTCCATTTCCCACGGCAACCAGACAGCTGATGGACCTCTTCCTGCCCTCTTTGGCAGTCATATTGAATACACTCTTCACCTACAAAACATAATAAATATATGACATGCATGGGATGGTTTGCAAATTACAGAAAAATGTTAAAGGTAAATTTACACTGCACTAAGACACAAATACAAAATGCTCATAATCAGTTTCATGTCATCAACCAAATGCAAGTCTTAAAAAGTTGACCATTGTATGTAGTAAATGCTTTATAACACTTTTTTTCTTATGCTTTATGTGTCACTTGGATAAAGGTTGACTTGGTCTTCTCTATTGTAATTATAGTCTACAGTCAGCCAATAATAAAAATGTAGAAACATTTTCTTCCACTTTGCCAATAAAATCTGACACTTGACTGTGTGTAATGAGAAACTCTGTTCAATGTGTAAACACAGGAAACTCAATGTCCTGCATTATGCTACTTAAACACCAGGGGGCAGAGTAGACACACCAGAACAACCAGAGAATAAGAGGGATGAGAAAACAGGGATGAGTGGGGGCAGAAGGGATTAGAGACACGAGTCAGAAGGAGGCAGGTAGGACCTGGAGGGGATGAGGGAATTGTTCCAGGAGAGATGGAAGGAGAGAAAAACAAAAACAAAGAAAAATCAGAGGAAGCAAAGCATACATAATGCTTCTTTGCACATGAAACAGCTCAGAGGAGAGGTGTTGATCCAAACGAAGAGACAAACAAGGTCCAGCAAGAGCATAAAACAAAACAGATAAAAGAAACATTTTGAAAAAATAGAACCTGCAGTGAAGTTCTGAGGTATTGGAACATGAGAACCTCAGAGGCGATGACGGTTAACGTCAACTTGGACAACTGAACGTGAAAAAGGGGTGTGTTGTGACTTGATAACAGATATGTAAACTGCTGACTGTCCCCAAAAATGTCATGCAGAACACACACACACACACACACACACACACACACACACACACACACACACACACACACACACACCTAATTAACCAGTTTTATTTTTCAAAGCTGCATTATTAATGACCTATTTAACATTTTATGAGACAGTAAAGTTGCCACAAACACAATCACGTTTGCACAATCAGCTTGTTTAAAGTTATGGTATTTCCTATTAAACTTAATAATAATAATAATCATTACTATTAGCAGTTTTATTAAAAGACTTGTTTTTTCAACACATTTACAGTGTAGTATAAATGAAAGTCTTGTGAGTTGATCTCTGAGATAAACAAGTTCTCATGCTTCTGTTTCAGGAACTAGAAGTGGGCAACAGAAGAGTTGAGCGTCAGACGGCAGGATCTGGACTCTTATTTACTGATATTTTGTATCTGATTGGCTAACAGCAATGCGGCTCTTCCACGGCTTCATTCACTCTGCAATGTTGATGTTTTATCCCCACAAATAACAAAGGCTGCAGGAGTTCTAACAAGTTGTGAAGTTGCTAATGCTAACGGTTAGCTTCTACTAGCTGTTAGCTTTCTCTGCACAGGATTTGTTGCAGGATGAGGGGTTTACATCCCTCTCATGGAGTAAAAGGTCAGTAGATGTGTGTTTGTTTACATATTTGCACAGTGCGAAGGAAATGAGCGACAGCTGATCAGTCGGTATGATCGGTTCTGAGAGGCGTTCATCGGAATTTGCAGATCACGTTATTTTTTCAGTGGCTTCTTCTTCCAGTCTGTCGACAGGGCATCAAAACTGGGAATTGGAACAAAAAAAACCTTGAATTTTCCAGCAAAAAACTGACAATTAGTCTTGGTTCCAATCAATGCTTGATGCCCAACCCTATATCCCAGTGAACTTGGCCTTTATGTTTATGATATTTTTCTATTCAACACTATAAGTAGCCATTCTAATTAACTCACTGCTCATCAAAAACCACAGAACAATGGAAGTTGAAGGTTTTCATCTTAAAAGCTGTGACTGGACCATCACCGGCTCTTTGGGGCTCATCATGGCCTAAGATCATGAGCTGTTGTGACGTGTCCTTCGTCAACAGAAAGTGACAGAGCAGAGCTGAATTTCAGCTGAAGGAACATTAAAGTTTAGCTCTGCCTTAAGCTTTCCTCCTTATGTAACGCACATATTTCAGTTACAGAAACAGGAATTGACTTGGGGCGGTCACAGCAGTGAGACTGGAGTTAGAGGAGCAGCGACAGTCCTGCAGGACACAAAAAGCACCAGATAGTTGACCTTAAACATACCTTCTTAAATGTTTAGTCGTACATATCGTTTTTGTATATTTAAAATGATATCTGAAAAAGTTCTGTGGCTTCAGGATCATGAAAATGATCTGCCACATCCCATAAGCTTAAGAAAAAATACAGATTCTGCAAAAATGACATTCCAGGCATTTTCTGTAAATCCATCAAATGATCATTGTCAGGTTTCCATGCTGCTTGGGGTTACTATAACTGGCGCCTCTGAGGACGGTGAGCTTCAGGCAGCATTTGTCATTTTAGGTGAGGATGCAGCAGCTTCAGCTGAGCGTTAGCAGCAGAGCAGATGGGATACGTTCTTTTTTTTTGCCGGATGAGCGACAAGACAGCAGTGGGAGGATGTTTCTAGCATGCACTCACTCATGTTTAATCTGTTATTTTCTCAATCTGTTGCTTCTTGCATGCCTGTGTGTGTCTGCCTATTTGCTGCTCTGAAGGGGAGGACTTTTCTCTGCATGGAAGGAAGAGGAGAAGTGAGAGTGTGAGAAACTTTCTGCTGCATTAGCACAAACCATCCCTTGCCTTCAAACGACTGAATCTTTAACAGGGTTACCTTATCCTGCACAAATTAAATATTTAATGCATGAAATTATTTAATAATGAAAACTGAATTTGTTCTTGTTTGCCATGCCTTTAGATTTTCCTGCATACCTGCGAGCTGTTTGCATTTGTGTTGCAGAGTTTTGTGTTCTTGTACATGAGCGTCTCGTTCGTAAACCCAGGCTCGTTATGTATGAAGCTTCACTAATTTAAAGTCTAATTTAATTTTAAATCTAATTTACTTTGTTAGCCAAAAGCAAAAATCCTTCTGCTTTTTAAAATGACAACTAACTGTAGCTAATTTAAATCTCTGCAGATTGTATTTGTATTAGACACTGAACTCAAACACCTATGACGTTACCACTCATAACTGACCCGAGTTTATTTTGTCTCGCCAGCTGTTTACTTGCACCAAAAGTTTCAAGGTTGTTGTTTCCAGGGTTTTGTCACCGACATCGCTCCATCTCTGTTAATGAAATCACTGAATCCCGTCCAAGGGGCTGCTGTTTCACCTCAACTCTTGGCTCTTTTTTTTAAACGTTACCCCGGCTATCTGTCATCCTTTCTTCTCATTCTCTACAGAAAACTTTGTGAGGATGCCAGCCGTGTACAAACCATTTGTTTTTCTTTTTTATTGCGGCTGTATAAGCGCTACAGGTCCTTACATGTCTGCGTTGTCCACAGTGAGATTCATCAGAGCTTTTCTCCATAGATGTACAAGTAGCTACAGATAGAATAAACAACTTTCCACCATCATCACACAAATTATTTTATTATTTTTATCTGAAGACATGAGCGCAAAAGCTACAAATTTAACCTCTTAGCTTTTACTTTATTTCATATCTAAAGTTTCTTTAAAAGGATATTCCACCCCAAAGTGAAAATGTGTCTGTTGACATATTCCCCATAGTTATATAAGTTAGAAAAAACTATTTTTAACCAGTCCAGTGATTTTCCTGAACTGGCTGTACTCTTTAGCTTAGCATAAAACAATGTAAATGAATGGTACCAACTAGCCCTGAGTGTGAGAAAGTCATTAAAATCACTCAATACTGATTCTAATTCTGCTTGATGGCCTTAATAATCATTCTGGCTGCAAGTGAAAATAAGTAACACAAAGAAATCACTAGCCTGGCAAGCCAGATTAAATAAATGCATTATTTAGGCCTAGTCCACACGTAGCCGGGGTTTTTTGAAAACGAATATCCGCCCCTCCAAAAACTTGCATCCACACCACAGTGTTTTAAAAACAAACTGTCCACACGTACCGGGATAAATACGTTGTTAAGGACATGCCAGACCTGTAGGCGGCAGTACTTCCCCCGTTCTTAACCTCGTCCTTCGTCTGTGGTCTTCCGCAAGGAGCAGTAATTCCGCTTGCAATAACAAACAAGCAGAAAGCGCTTGGACAATTGATGGATCGGGTAGTGACAGAGCGCAGCTCTGAGGGCATCCATGCTGTCGGCTAGTGTAAACACAGGTCGCACACGTGATGTCAGCATTTTTTTTGTCGCGGAAAGTGCCGTTGCGGACCTTAAAACTCCGGTTTTGTCCGTCCACACGCAGACACCCAAAATGGAGAAAACGCAGATCTTCACTTTGGCCGGAGTTTTTAAAAAGATCCGTTTTCGTGTGAAAAAACTCCATTTTCGTGTGGATGACAGGCCAAAACGTAGAAAAATATCTATGTTTTGGCAGATCCCCGGCTACGTGTGGACAGGGCCTTAGTCTGGCAAGGCTCCATTGATGGCCCTCAGTCATGGGGCGGGTTCTACCGTTGTCTTTCAAACGATCTTCGCATGCTACTGGACAATGAACAATGCGACATACTCACCGCAACGGATGTCGGTAAACGAGGGGTCTGCTGTTGAAGAAGGCGAGAATAAATCCTCTTTTCTAAAAAAAAAAGGAACTTGAATACATCTTTCTGCTCCTGATTCTAATAAAGCTCACGTCCAAATAGTCCAAAACGGATGCAAAAGCCATTTCAAACGAGCTGTCGCCATCTTGTTCCACTGTGTTGCATCACCCCACCAGACAAATATGGTGCTTACACATTAGCATCGACACGGTCGGGGTTTGGTCAGGCTGGATGGCGTGAGTTCGGTCTCGAACGGATGGTGTAGTGTTCACATAAAAATCCGAGGGACTTCTCAGGAATGCAGAAATCCCAGAGCCTGTGGGCTCTGAATGCGTGTGGTGTCCTCCATAATAAGGTAAACAAAGGTGGAGGACATGAGCTGTGTTACTTTTGGAGACTCTGAACCACATTAATTTTAGGTCTGCGAAAAAGA